TCAGTATGATATTGGCTTTTGGTTTGTCATAGATACCTTTTATTATTTTGAGATGCTTTCCGTCAATACCTAGTTTATTGAGGGTTTTTAGCATAAAGGGCTGTTGAATTTTGTCAAAGGCCTTCTCTGCATCAATTGAGATAATCATGTGGTTTTTGTCTTTGCTTCTGTTTATGTGGTGAATTACGTTTATAGACTTGCGTATGTTGAACCAGCCTTGCATCCCTGGGATGAAGCCTACTTGATCATGGTGGATAAGCTTTTTGATGTGCTGTTGCAATGGGCTTGCCAGTATTTTATTGAAGATTTTTGCATCTATGTTCATCATGGATATTGGCTTCAAGTTTTCTTTTCTAGTTGAGTCTCTGCCGGGTTTTGGTATCAGGATGATGTTTGTCTCATAAAATGATTTGGGAAGGATTCCCTCTTTTTGGAATATTTGGAATAGTTTCAGAAGGAATGGTACCAGCTCCTCTTTGTATGTCTGGTAGAATTTGGCTGTGAACCCATCTGGACCATTTTTTGGGTGGTAGGCTCTTAATTGCTGCCTTAACTTCAGACCTTGTTATCGGTCTATTCAGGGTTTCAACTTCTTCCTGGTTTAGGCTTGGGAGGAGGCAAGTGTCCAGGAATTTATCCATTTCTTCCAGGTTTACTAGTTTATGTGCATAGAGTTTTTTGTAATAATCTCTGATGATGGTTTGAATTTCTGTGGAATCTGTGGTGATATCCCCTTTATCGTTTTTTATTGCATCAATTTGGTTATTTTCTCTTTTCTTTTTTATTAATCTGGCTAGTGGTCTGTCTGTTTTGTTGATCTTTTCCAAAAATCAGCTCCTGGATTTACTGATTTTTTTGAAGGATTTTTTGTGTCTCTATCTCCTTCAGTTCTTCTCTGATCTTAGTTATTTCTTGTCTTCTGCTAGGTTTTGAGTTTTTTTGATCTTGCTCCTCTAGCTCTTTCAATTTTGATGCCAGGGTGTCAATTTTTGATCTCTCCTTGCTTCTCATGTGGGCACTTATTGCCATATATTTTCCTCTAGAGACTGCTTTAAATGTGTCCCAGATATTCTGGTATGTTGTATCTTCGTTCTTGTTGGTTTTGAAGAACATCTTTATTTCTGCCTTCATTTCATTGTTTATCTAGTCAACATTCAAGAGCCAGTTGTTCAGTTTTCATGAAGCTGTGCGGTTCTGAGTTCGTTTCTGCATTCTGAGTTCTAACTCGATTGCACTGTGGTCTGAGAGACTGTTTCTTATGATTTCCGTTCTTTTGCATTTGCTGAAGAGTGATTTATTTCCAATTATGTGGTCAATTTTAGAGTAGGTGTGATGTGGTGCTGAGAAGAATGTATATTCTGTGGATTTGGGGTGGAGAGTTCTGTAAATGTCTATTAGGTTTGCTTGTTCCAGGTCTGAGTTCAGGTCCTAGATATCCTTGTTAATTTTCTGTCTGGTTGATCTGTCTAATATTGACAATGGGGTGTTAAAGTCTCCCACTATTATTGTGTGGGAGTCTAAGTCTCTTTGTAAGTCATTAAGAACTTGCCTTATGTGTCTGGGTGCTACTGTATTGGGTGCATATATATTTAGGATCGTTAGCTCTTCTTGTTGCATTGATCCTTTTACCATTATGTAATGTCCCTCTTTGTCTCTTTTGATCTTTGTTCCTTTAAAGTCTATTTTATCAGAGATGAGAATTCCAACTCCTGCTTTTTTTTGCTCTCCATTTTTTTTGGTAAATCTTCCTCCATTCCTTTATTTTGAGCCTTTGTGTATCCTTGCATGTGAGATGGGTTCCTGGATATAGCACACCAATGGGTTTTGGCTTTTTATCCAGTTTACCAGTCTGTGTCTTTTGGTTGGGGCATTTAGTCTATGTACATTTAGGGATAATATTGTTATGTGTGAATTTGATACTGCCATTTTGATGCTAGCTGGCTGTTTTGTTCGTTAGTTGATACAGATTCTTGATTGTGTTGATGCTCTTTACCATTTGGCATGTTTTTGGAGTGGCTTGTACTGGTTGTTCCTTTCTACGTGTAGAGCCTCTTTCAGGAGCTCTTGTAAAGCAGGTCTGGTAGTGATGAAATCTCTGAGTACTTGCTTGTTCACAAAGGATTTTATTTTTCGTTCACTTTTGAAGCTTAGTTTGGCTGGATAGGAGATTCTGGGTTGAAAGTTCTTTTCTTTAAGGATGTTGAATATTGGTCCCCACTCTCTTCTGGCTTGTAGGGTTTCTGCTGAGAGATCTGCTGTGAGTCTGATGGGCTTCCCTTTGTGTGTAACCCGACCTTTCTCTCTGGCTGCCCTCAGCATTTTCTCCTTCATTTCAACCCTGGTGAATCTCACCATTATGTGCCTTGGGGTTGCTCTTCTTGAGGAATAACTTTGTGGTGTTGTCTGTATTTCCTGGACTTGAATATTTGCCTGCCTTGCTAGGTTGGGGAAGTTTTCCTGGATAATATCCTGAAGAGTATTTTCCAGCTTGGATTCATTCTCTTTGTCACATTCAGGTACACCTATCAAACGTAGATTAGGTCTTTTCACATAGTCCCACATTTCTTGGAGACTTTGTTCATTCCTTTTTACCCTTTTTTCTCTATTCTTGCCTTCTCGTTTTATTTCATTGAGTTGATCTTCGACCTCTGATATCCTTTCTTCTGCTTGGTCAATTCGGCTGTTGAAACTTGTGCATGCTTTGCGATGTTCTCGTGTTGTGTTTTTCAGCTCCATCAATTCACTTATATTCCTCTCTATGTTGTCCATTCTCGTTAGCATTTCGTCAAATCTTTTTTCAAGGTTCTTAGTTTCTTTGCATTGGGTTAGAACATCTTTTAGCTCACAGAAGTTTCTTATTACCCACCTTCTGAAGTCCGATTCTGTCATTTCATCACACTCCTTCTCCCTCCAGCCTTGATCCCTTGTTAGTGAGGAGTTGTGATCCCTTTTAGGAGGAGAGGTATTCTGGTTTCGGGTGTTTTCACCCTTTTTTCCGCTGGTTTTTTCCCATCTTTGTGGGTTTATCCGCCTGTTGTCTTTGTAGTTACTTACTTTCAGATTGGGTCTCTCAGTGAACTTCCAGTTTGTGGATGCTGAAGTTACTTCTTTTTCTTAGCTTTCCTTCTAACAGTCTGGCCCCTCTGCTGTAGGACTGCTGAGGTCCACTCCAGGCCCTGCTTGCCTGGGGATCACCTGCAGCAGCTGCAGAACGGTAAGGGTTGCTACCAGTTTCTTCCTCTGCTATCTTTGTCCCAGAAGGATACCCGCCAAATGTCAGTCTGTTCTCTCATTTATGAGGTGACTCTTGGATATACGGGGGTCAGGGAGCTGCTTGAGGCGACAGTCTGTCCTTTATTGGAACTCAAGTCCTGAGCTGTGAGCTCCGTTGTTCATTCAGAGTTGCTGGGCAGGTGCGTTTAGGTCTGCTGCAGCAGTACTCATAAACTCCCTTTTTTTTTCCCAGTTGCTCTGTCCCGGGGAGTTAGGGCTTTATTTATGAGTTTCCGTTGTGCTGCTGCCTTTTTTTTCTTTCAGGGCTGTCCTGCCCAGCGAGGAGGCAGCCTAGTCACTGTCTGCCTGCAGAGGCTTTGCTGAGCTGCTGTGGGCTTCGCCCAGGTGCCGAGTGATCTTCCCTGCAGTCCTGTTTATATGGGTGTAGTTAGAACTGCCTCAGCAATGGTGGCCTGCCTCTGTTATGGCGGACTCTCTCTGTAGTGGCAGGTTGCCTTGGCAACAGTGGGTTGCCTCAGCAATGGCGGGCTGCCTCAGCGATGGTCAGACTGCCTCTGTAGTGGTGGAGTGTCTCAGTAATGGCGGACCATCCTGGGTTCAGCTGTGCTTGCTGTGAAACTCTCAACCCAGAGCGTTTTCAATTACTGTTTTTTTTTTTTTTTTTTTTTTTGGTGGGGGGGGGGGGGGGGGGCCAGCCGAGCCTGGTCTCCTCGCTCCCCTACTTCTAGGAGTCTCTTTTTTTTTTTTTTTTTTTTTTCAGTTCAACGGTCGACTGTCTTCCAGGTGTTCCAGTCACCTGTTGAAAAGGCGTCGGGATCTCCCGTGCGGCGACTCACCGAGCCGGCTGAAACAGCGGTGCTGAGATTCCTGGTGGTTTTTTTGCCCAGGAATCTCCTGGCCTGGCTCGCTATGTCAGATGAATGGGTGACTCTGCCATCTCAGGGCTCCAATTGCCAGCTAAGAGGGCACCCGGACCAGTGTCTTGTATGGAGAACTGCCGTGCCAGGGCGTGGGCAAAGCAGCCGCGCAGGCCAAAACAGCCATGCTAGCCGAAACAGCTGCACTGGCTACCTGTGGGGCTCTTCCGCCTGAAAATCTCCTGGTCTGTGGGCAATAAAAATCCGTCTGGAAATGCGGCGTCCACTCACTGTCTGCTCTTTCACTGGGAGCTGAAATCCTGAGCTGTTCCTAGTCTGCCATCTTCCCCCGATGTGTGTGTTTTTTGTTTGTTGTTGTTTTTTTAAAACCTTTTTATTACGGAAAATTCTAAACATATTCTAAAGTCTGGAGGATAGTATAATGGACCTTTCCATATACATCACTTAGTTTCAGTTTATGGTTAGTCTTATTTCATCTGTACCTGAATTACTTCTCCCCATTCCCCAATTATTTCAGAGCAAATCGCAGACATCCTATCATTTCATCCATAACTACTTTATTCTTTCTTTTTGAAAAAGGGTCTTGCGCTGTTGCCCAGGCTGGAGTGCAGTGGTGCAATCTTGGCTCACTGTAACCTCTGCCTCCTGGTTTCAAGCTACTCTCGTGCCTCAGACTCCTGATTAGCTGGGATTACAGGTGTTTGCCACCATGCCCAGCTAATTTTTGTATTTTTGGTAGAGACGGGGTTTTACTATTTTGGCCAGACTGGTCTCGAACTCCTGGCCTCAAGTGATCCGTCCCTGCTCAGCCTCCCAAAGTGCTGGGATTACAGGCATGAGCCACTGTGCCTGGCTAATTTTTGTATATTTAGTAGTTGGCCAGGCTGGCCTTGAAATCCTGGCCTCAAGTGATCCACTCTCCTTCAGCCTCCTAAAGTGCTGGGATTACAGGCATGAGTCACCATGCCTGGAGTCATAACTACTTTAGTATCTATCTTTAAAAATTAACAACCCCTACAACATCATTATGACACCTAAAAAGTTTATCTGTATCTTAATGTGATCAGCTGTCTAGACTGTTCAAATTCTCTTGTCTCTTCTTAAATGTTGGTTTGTTTGTAATGGGTACCACACAAGGTTCGTACATTGGATTTGGTTGTTATTTATTGAAGTTTATTTAATTTATAAGTTACCTTTTCTTTTCCCCTTTAAATTGTTTAAGAAATCTAGTTGTAGGCCGGGCGCGGTGGCTCAAGCCTGTAATCCCAGCACTTTGGGAGGCCGAGGCGGGTGGATCATGAGGGCAAGAGATCGAGACCATCCTGGTCAATATGGTGAAACCCCGTCTACTAAAAATACACAAAATTAGCTGGGCATGGTGGTGCATGCCTGTAATCCCAGCTACTCAGGAGGCTGAGGTAGGAGAATTGCCTGAACCCAGGAGGCGGAGGTTGCGGTGAGCCGAGATCACGCCATTGCACTCCAGCCTGGGTAACATGAGTGAAACTCCGTCTCAAAAAAAAAAAAGAAAGAAAAAAGAAATCTAGTTGTTTTGTCTTTAAGGTTTCCACACATATTCTGGATTTTGTTGATTTTATCACTGTGAAGTCATTAACTTGTTTTTATGCCTCTTGTATATCCTGTAAACAAATAAGATTGATCAGATTCAGGTTCAGTTTTTTTAGTGCCTTCTTTTGAGTAAAGTCATACCAAACAGATGCCCAGAACATCTAGATTTAGGTCCCCACTGGATTCCTCAAAGAATGTATATCTCCTATAAGTGGAATATGAGGGACATGGACCTGCTTTAGTAAGAATAGTAATCTGTTTTGGGAGTTAAAAGAGCAGTTGTGGATTTATTTATTGATAAAAACCATTTTTCTTCCTAATTACTTTGCTGTTACTCTAGTGTCTTAGCCATCTTCATTTGGTTGTTTACCAATATATGACATGTGATTTTATTTTTCAGATGGATACAGACATTTACAAGATTGTGGTGACCTGTGTTACAGTTAGAAGTTGGTGAGAAAGGTGATGGTGGATAGTAAAAAGAGAGATCATTTGGCTGGCTGTTCCAGCTGGGTTTCCCAGGATGCAACATAGATGTACATAGATCCAGGGTCTGACCCTCAACTTGAGAAACCACTTCCCACTGACGAAACTTGTAAGACTTGGAGATTTGCCAGTTAGAATATAAATGTATTAATTCATGGTGATAGGTCTGCCTACGGTAAACAAGTAGGAAACAGGAAGTTTCTTGGTAAACATAGATACGCGCAAAGGAAGGTTGATAAATTGGGTTAATATTTCAGTTGTGCTGAGGTAAGACTTGGAGAATTCTTCCTGCTTCATCGTTAATTAGAATGCTTATTTCTGCCAAAATCTTGTCTCTTTCCTAGCCCATGTAGTTTTCCTTTTGTTGTGACAGTTTTATTCTGCAGCTTACCATATTTATTCCTGGTCCATAAAAGTATAAATAGTCTCATCAGTAGCTCATTTGTAAGTCATCTTCCAGGGAGGTTTCTTCAACAGATAGTTTCATTTTTTGCTGACTTACTGGCTTCAAATTCAGATGTCTCCCTATTTGAGGAAGGAGGTACCCTATTTGAGGCCTTTAGCTCCTTATGTTCTTAAAAAGAGAATATATGATTCATTTATGTCAAAATCAAGCTTTAAGTCTTTATTTATGGTGCTAAAATAATGTTACTTGACCAAGATTGCCTGTGGAGTATTAACAATGGAAAACAAAGCACACATACACACATTAGAGAAGTAAAAACTTTTAATAGCTTGGTTTTTGAAATAATTCATCCTTGTGTCTAACCACTGTTACAGTGGGTATAAGGAACACTTTTTAAATATTCAACATCAACATCTGTGTCTGTTTTTCTACTGTGCTGAGGTACACTGACTGTGTTGCCTTGGTGATATGGACTACGTTCCTTGCTTCCCCTGAGTCTGAGACCTCTGCTGTTCGCTGTTAATCAGGGATGTCACTACATGTATGAGCCTTGTCATTTTCTAAACATTAGGTCATGCGTGAAAATTCAAAGAGATTAAACTAGCAGATATATCAGGGTCTTTAGATACTGTGCTTAAGGGAAACTTAGTTTACCCATATTCCTGAGAGTAGGTATTACAGGGATAGAGAGCCTGCCTCTCTCAGGCAGTGTGTCTGTAGTTCATTTTTGGTTTCAAAATTAAATTTGTGTCAAACCAACCTACAATCTAGTAATCTTTGTGTATTGGACTCACTTTTAGTCAGACAAAGTCAGTTCAGCTCAATAGATATTTATTATCTACTAGGTTGTAAGTGACATGGCATGAAGATGAATAATACAGAAGTAGCCCTTGCCCTTAAGGAGCTTCCAATCTAATGAGTAAAGAAAATTTACATTTTAAATAATCTGGGTAATAGTGACAGCCCAATACTAATATATAAAGCCAGTAGGAATATACTAATACTTTTCCAATTTTAGTCATCAAAAATTGTAAATTGCAAATGAACTAAATATTCCATAGATTGTATGCAACGTGAGGTTAAAAAAAATCCAAGATGTCTTGGAGTTGCAGAGATTCAGCATTCCAACTCAGATGATTGTCTTGTTGTCCAGTAGCATAATGGCCTGATCAGTTCTCTTCTAGCAGAGTGTCTGTTATGGTGATTTGGTAGTGGTCTGTTGGCAAGCTGCATTTTTCCTTTTCTTTTTTTATGCTCTGGACCCCAAACAAAAATAGCTGGATTTATCCCATGGGTAGTCATTCATATTTCCAATTTGAGGGATTTTATATTCCCAAAACAGAAGGTTATATGGCATTTGTTAAATAATGACTATAGGCCGGGTGCGGTGGCTTACGCCTGTAATCCAAGCACTTTGGAGGCCAAGGTGGACGGATCACCTGAGGTCAGGAGTTCAAGACCAGCCTGACCAACATGGTGAAACCCTGTCTTAAAAAAATAAAAATAAAAAATAATGACTATATCTAGCCAGGTTTCTCCTCTGTACACAAATCAGTAACCAAAGATATAGTATTTCTAAGTATAATACTTGAGAGGAAGACATAAGAATTACAGTTTTCCAAATTTGTGGAGGTATTTCATTATAATAAGTATTTCACTTATTAATGTCACAATTATATATTTATGGAAATATGAATGTATGCCCAAGCAAAATGTAAATATTTTAACTTTGTTTACCTAGGTTCCTTAATTTTGAGAATATAACTATCAAGGTTCTTCAAGAAACTCAAAATGATTCCAATTTCTAAGGAGTATCCATTAAAACTTATGTATAATGAAAGAAAAACAGTGAAAATGTATGCATCCTATGTCAGTTTAACCATCACGCCTGAGGTCTCAAGCAATCAGAAACTTACTCAAGTTATTCAATAACCTATAAGAATTAGGCCATTAAGATAGATTTTAGAAACCCTGTAGAACACTTATATTTAATACGTTATTAATCATATTAAGGCAGTAAAATTAGACTATACTCAATATCAAAGTGTTTCAGAAGCAGTTTCTAAAGAATCATACTTGTCATCATAGAGACTGATACATGTAAATGCATTGCATTTTACTTTTTTATACTTGTATGTATTTTATACTTTGTGTATTTTATTACACATTTTTAACACAGGTAAAAGAATGAGCAGCTATTATCAACCATAACACCAATTTGTTGAATATTGTTTTAAAACCAAGTAAAGGACCATAACTCCACCAGATCAGGAATTAATGAACAAAATTGAGGGCCAGTTTTTAAATCGTTGAGACTGTTAGGTTCATTTGTCTGTTTAAGAGGCTGGCCTTAGGGAATATAATTTGTGCATGTAAAAAAATGCAGGAGATGATTCCCTGGAATTTCTCTTAATAACCATGTTCATTAAGAGTAAGTCATTGGGAGGAAATATAAAAACATTCAAACTCATTAATATAATTTGCCTCTTAGAATGAAAATTAAAGAACTCCAGATTTTAGCCTTGAACACTTTGGAAATAAAAGATGAATTAGTGAAATAATTTCTACTGCAAATCTTAGTTGTTGCAGAGAATAACATGCCTCACTATTAATGTCCAATTCTAATTAAATTGATTGTTTTAGAAATGGATTTGTGAAATATAGCAAACAGCTACTAATACTAACAGGTGAAAACTGATATTTCTTCTTTTTTTTTTTTTTTGAAAGATGGGGTTTCACCATGATGGCCAGGCTGGTCTTGAACTCCTGACCTCAGGTGATCCACCCACCTTGGCCTTCCAAAGTGCTAGGATTACGGGCGTGAGCCACCACACCCGGCCCAAAAACTGATATTTCAAATGACTAAACAGACTTGGATTAGAGGAAGGTAGGAAAAGGTGTGTAACTGTCAGAAGTAGTTAGCCAAAAATTGAGCTTTAGGCATCAGTCTTTTATGGAAGACTGTAAATCAACAGGCCAATGTTCAAAATATGGCAGACAATATCAAAATGTGCTAAATTGGTTTATCTTTAGGCAGAAACAGAAAGCAAAAGATAAAACTCATCCAACTCATACTTTTTTGTTGTTTTTGTTTGTTTTTTTGAGACAGAGTCTTTCTCTGTTGCCCACGGTGGAGTACAATGGCATGATCTTGGCTCACTGCAACCTCCAGCTCCCAGGTTCAAGCGACTCCCCTGTCTCAGCCTCCTGAGTAGCTGGGGTTGCAGGCATGCGTCACCACACCTGGCTAATTTTTGTGGTTTTAGTAGGGATGGGGCTTCCCCATGTTGGCCAGGCTGGTCCCGAACTCCTGACCTCAGCTGATCTGCCTGCCTCGGCCTCCTAAAGTGCTGGGATTACAGGCATGAACCACCGCACCCAGCCCAACTCATACATTTTTAAAATCTCATTTTAAAATTAAAACCACAGTTTTCATATCACAAATTTGATTGCTTTTTGTTTAATTCTCCAATTTTAAAATGCTTGAATTTCAGCCAATATGTGAATATAGGAGACTTCAAAGGCATTATCAATTACCCCTTCAAGTTCATTGTAAGTGTTCTGAGAACTCTGCCACCTAGAATTTAAAGACAGGAAGATTTTCTTTATAATTTTAATTTTTTATCATAAGACTCGATTGTCAGTAACTGTTAGCTTCCATTTAATAATCTATGGTGAAATAAGTAATTTCTTATTTTCACAAGCATGTGAGTAAAAGACTGGGTTTTAAGCAATAAATCATTTGTTCTAACTAAGCACATGCTTGGAGAAAGTGCTATTCCTAAACATATGCCTTGAAAACAAAATTCGTTCCCTTTTTGCTTCACAGGAAGCCATATTGGGGTGACTTCCAAGATTGAGCAAGCTGTTTTTATTCTTACCACCTCTTTCAAAAACAAATGCTGTCTTTGTCCCCAAATTCTGGGGTTGTCCTATGCTGATGCATAATGAAGCCCTGAGGCTTGGTAACTTGCAAACCAAAAAAAGATGATTTAACAATGAAACTGCATATTGGTTTGATGCTGTCTATTAATAGTCCTTGAGTGAGCTTAAATTTGAGACACTTTTAAAAGCAGCATGTAGTTCCAGTTTTGCTTCCCTATCAGTGGAGCTTGAAATGTCTCTTCCTGCCGACTGATTCTAACAAATTTTTAGTTTCTCATGATCTGAAAGATTTTGTATGCACGTCTTAGTCTGGATACTGTTTT